AGTACCCATGGAGTCAATCGATCTAACTCCGACTGGATGATGGGTGAAAATTTATGGCCTGAACTTTGAAGTTGTTGTAGCGACAAAGCAGCTAGAGGTCATTATAATTACCATGTGAAACTGACAGCAACCTCTGGCACCAGCACTTGTGCAGTTAAACACAGAAATCCACAAGTTGTTGTCAGACACCCCCTGTTCCTGTGAGCTGTTCAGGTTTCTGAATATAACAATCTTTGTAAATAATTGAACTGTTAAGAAACGTGAAATTCATGTCACAGATCAGTAGATCTTTGTGGGTAGCTTACTTCAAGATCAGGCAGTTGCTTCACCCCTGACTGCAAACTTCAAGCTGTTGTAAATGAGGAATAGATTTATTACCATGCTGATCTGTCAGGCTTCACCTTAAACCTTTGTTGCCTGCTTTGTGGGAAATATTGGCCTGACAATGTGAATGCAGATGAAAGTGTTCTGTGTGTTATAAATTGAAGGTAATTCACTACAAAGTCTGATGTGTACAAGGTAATTTTCTGTAGGGCTTCATTTCTGAGTGCAGCTGTGCAACTTAATTTTCAACATTGCTAAAAAGAGGTGTGGTCAAAACTTTTTGCCTTGCACTGATCAGGATTGAAATGCAGGAAAACCAGCTTTAGAAATCAAATACCAATTTATAGACATTAAGAAGAATGCTGATCAATTGGACTATGGTTGGCATGGAGAAACAATAGGAACTGTTAACAGGCAGTCTTAGTTAACTGATTAAATTCAGACTAGACACACAAACTCTGATTGTTCTGGGCGTTCCCATGGGATGCAGCAGGGATTAACTGTCACTGTAGACCTGTCCTATTTCGAAAGGACATATAACGTATTGCTGATGAAGAGTAGGATTCTGTGCTGTGTGAACATATGTATGCACCAATGAATCGCACTGCGATTGTAAAATTTGTTTCAAAATAACCTTTGTAAAAAGGAGGATGTGCTTGTGTCCATGCTCTTCACAATTTTAATTGATAGCCGTCTTCCTGTACATTGGGAAATATAATGGTGGTGATTTTTTTGATTTGATTTGATTTATTATTGTCACACGCACCTGAGTACAGTGAAATCTTCTGTTTTGTGTGCAGTACAAGCGGATTATAACATAAAAAGATCAGAGTGACCGAACAGAGTGAGAAATACAAAGTTACGGCTGCAAAGAAGGTGCTCAAAAAAACAAGATCAGCAGTAGATTTGAAATTTGAGAGGTCCATTCAGAAGTCTAATAACAGCGGGGAAAAAGCTGTTCTTGAATCTGTTAGCACATGTGTTTAAGCCTTTGTGTCTTCTGACTGATGGAAGAGGTTGGAAGAGATTATAACTGGGTTGGGAGAGGTCTTTGATGATGTCAGCTGACTTTCTGCGGCAATGAGAAGTGTAGATGGAGTCAGTGGATGGAAGATTACCTTGCTTGATGGTCTGGGCTATGTTCACAGCTTTCTGTAGTTTCTCATGGTCCCTGGGCAGAGCTGTTGCCATACTAGGCTGTGATGCATCTGGATAGAATGCTTTCTGTGGTGCATCTGTAAAAGTTGGTGAGGGTCCTTATGGACATGCCAAATTCCCTTAGCCTCCTAAGGAAGAAAAGGCGTTGTTTTACCTTCTTGACCATCACATCAATGTGGGTGAACGAGGACAGATTGTTGGTGATCGTCACTCCCAAGAACTTGACTCTCTCAACTATCTCCACCTCAGCTCCATTGATGTAGATAGGGGAATGTCCTCCTCCTTGCTGCCTGAAGTCAATGATCAGCTCTTTAGTTTTGCTGACATTGATGGAGAGATTGTTATGTTTACACCATGTCACCAGACACTGTATCTCTTTCCTGTATTCTGTCTTGTCTTTGTTTGATATCCAGCTTGTAACAGTGGTGTTGTCAGCAAACTTATATATAGAGATTTTGTACAGTAATTCTTCAGCAGAGCAGAAGCATAAGATGAAATTCCTGAAATTATCAGTGTGATTTGTGGGCAACGTCTAAAAATTCACCTCATTATTAGGAAATCTTGCCGCTGTTTCCTTGTCTAATTGAGCAAAAGATTTTTTCTCACAGTACCTGTTCTGAGCGTTTACCATCCCTATAACCAGGTGGTTTACAGTACATGGAAGGGTCATTCACTACTTTGGAAGTGACTTCCATTATTTTGGAGATAGTGTTTACTGCTTGGCAGGTTTGTGTGTTGAATCTCTGCTTTCCACAGGTGAGAGGGGAAAGATTTAAAAGGCATCAAAGGGGCAACGTTTTCACGCAGAGAGTGTATGGAATGAGTTGCCAGAAGAAGTGGTGGAGGCTGGTACAATTACAATACGTAAAAGGCACTGGCCTTGTGATGCATTATAGGGATAGGAGGGCTTTAGAGGGATATGGGCCAAATGCTGGCAAATGGGACTAGATTAATTTAGGATATCTGGTCAGCATGGACGAGTTGGACTAAAGTGTCTGTTTCCGTGCTGTACAGCTCTATGAGTCCATGTGATTTATCAGATCAGCTTAGGTGCTGCTTATTTTCTTTTAACCCGGACCTCGCTTGAGGAGCAATGTGACCAGCATCAGGGGCATCACCAGAAGGAGCAGCAAAAGCTTTCTTTTCCCAGTCCTATCGCTCCTCAGGAGACCGAAAAGGGGATGAGCAGCAAAGAATACTTAGGATGTTCAAACAGCGGTTCAGTTTCCCAATATGCTGAAAACCAATGTGCCAGGAGACCTGGGGTCCTTGCATCGGGCCCTGGAAGACACTTGCAGCCTGCTGGAAAAAGACCTGTTTCCAAAGATCTGTTGCTCAGTGGATCTTGTGATCATACTTCACCAGGGCTGTGAAAGTCACCAGCACTTTCAGCTTCTTTGCCTCAGCAAAGGGATCATTGGTAGCATTTGCAGTTGGCTGCCTCCAGGTGACTTGATGTTATATTTGCCAGTCAGGTAACACTGGACACGGCCACCCAGGGAGAATGAGCGGGCCATCACTTTGTGTCTCTGGTTGGTTTTTCTCAGGTACAAGGCATCACTGACTGCCAAACACAGCACCCATGAATCACCAGGCGTATTTGGTCACCATGACAGCTTTCACTCATTCAAAGTGCAGCCAGTATGCAACCACAAAAATATACTTAAGCAGGGGATTTCCAGGCAGCTGACATGATCCTTTTATCTGTGCGAATCTACTGTATTTCATTTATTACAGATAGAGCAGAAATGGTAGGATGCTTCCCCTTTTGCCACTTCCCACAGATATGTTGTTAAAACCAAAGGTGTTTTAGCCTCAAGCGCTATAACTGTTAAGAAGAGTCAAATGACACAGTTTAAAAAGAAAAGGAAATTTTTTTTGCTGAATACCTGAAATGTATTTTAAAGACTTCTGAATGGGATGTGCTGTAAGTTTGTTTAGATCTCCATGTCCTGCCCAGACGAGCAGGCTGGCTCTATGGCTTTATGTCAATCCAAGTACATTGGTAAGAAGGAAAAGATCATGTGACCTCTCAACTCCTTGTTTTTGTAAGAATAACATGCTAACTTCAAAATTATACTCCATAAATCCATACATCTGTATTGTGTGTACATGACGCTTTGCATCTCAAAGCTGATTGCTCGGGAAGAAGGAGAACCCACTTAATATCTGGTTAATGACACCCTCGAAGAGTACCAGCAATGAAGCCAAGGAACACAACATTGAAATTTCATGTCTGATGTCCCACTGAGGAAACAGTTAACGTTCTGAAGGTACATTTTGGTTGCCTCAATAGATCTGAAAACACCTATCAATAAAAACAAAAAGGGTCTACAAGTGGTCTGGAATGTGAGAACAAGCAAGGTGTAGAACACAGAGCGTCTTTAGAGGAGAAAGAAGAACGTCTTTTAGCTGGTGGTTCACATCGCTGCACAGGATGCTTTCACAATGATAATGTCAGGTAAAGATTTCACTCTGCACCTAATTAGCAGCCAAATGCTTAACCAATTTGCACAACCACCACCATTATTGTACCAACAGAAAAACACCAACCACATATCCTATTCACAGCCACCCATTGCTCAGCTCTATGTCTTGTCATTACTCATCAGTCAGGAGGCAAGACGGAAAGCAGTGGTAAACAAATATTCTTTTTGTGATCCATAAGTGAAGCATAAACTTAGTCTACAATTCTGTAACACAAGTATGTGCACATGTAACTTTCTGCAGATCTTCCTGTCACTTCTACATGGGGCAACTCTTCTGAAGACTACAAAAGACTGCTTCACCTGCAGTTGCTCAGGAGGACAATTGACCAGAGTGAGACAGAGCAGCATGTTAAGGATTGAGGTGGGTTGAGGGTGGGGTCACTAGATGAGAAGTGTAAGAACTTTGAACAGAGACTGCACTCCATGGCTCCATCACAATCATCCTTTAAAGGCTCGCCCATATTTCCATTTCATCATGAGCAGGGGGGCACTTTACTGCCTTCATAGTATGCAAGCCATCGGTGAGGGCCATCATGCATGCATTTGTTTGCCAAACTGGATATTCCATTGCAGGTGGCAATCTCCATGAACCAATACATCACACTTAACAATTAGATGGGACTGATAAAGAAGATAGTTGGGTTTTCACTTAGTGTCTGACACATCACAGGCAAGTAAGAGTATATTGTGGGGACAGGGACAGCTGTGAAGAGCCTGTATGATGGTTGGAAAATATGCCAAGCTTTGTTTACCTTGATGAGGATGCTGAATGGGCTGTTGACAAAGATGATAGTTATAGAGCATCAGCAGAAACCATGCAATGTACAGGCTGGTTTCATTTCCAGCCACATTGTGAACTTGCAGAGAGATCAAAGGAGTCCATGTCAAAAATGAGTGGCGTACCAAGCTTTTGTGGGTGGGTATTCTGAAAGCAAAAATAGTGAATTTAATCAGGTTTACTTTGCTTAGCTTAAGAAGTAGTTCTGTCTAGGCTAAAAGAACTAAAAGATACTCCCAAAGCACTGCAGGTAGATAAAAGTCAACAATTTATTTCTGCAAACAGTATTAACAACTTGCACCATTTCAGAAAATACCAAGTTTAATACCAATGATGATGGAAATGAGGGCACCCACGACTCCCAACAAGACCATGGTAGAGAAAGCAAATCCTGCAGTACCTTTCAGTGAAACAAATGAGAAACAGAGTCTATGAATATCGCCTCTTATGAAAGAACATTGAAGAAACCTTTATTGGTCAGTGCATTAAGTGTAGGAGTTGGGAGGTCATGATGCGGCTGTATAGGGGTTAGGCCACTTTTGGGATACTACATTCAATTCCAGTCTCCTTGATTATACAAAAGATGTTTTGAAATTTGAAAGGTTTCAGAGAAGATTTACAAGGATGTTGCCAGAGTTGGAGGGTTTGAGCTATAGGGTGAGGCTGAATAGGCTGGGGCTATGGTCTCTGGAGTGTCGGAGGCTGAGGGGTGACCTTAAAGAAGTTTATAAAATCATGAGGGGCATGGATAGGGTGAATAGTCAAGGTCTTTTCCCCAGAGTAGGGAGTTCCAAAATTGGAGGCCATAGGTTTAAGGTGAGAGGGGAAAGATTTAAAAGGGACCCAAGGGGCAACTTCTTCACACAGAGGCTGGTGCATATATTGAAGCAGCTGCCAGAGGAGGTGATGGAGGCTGGTACAATCACAACATGTAAAAGGCATCTAGATGGGTATGTAAGTAGGAAGGGTTTAGAGGGATATGGGCCAAATGCTGGCAAATGGGACTTGATTAATATAGAATATCTGGTCAGCATGGACGAGTTGGACTTAATTGTCTGTTTTTGTGCGGTTCATTTCTATGACTCTATATCACTAGGTCACAACTTTCAGGCTCTGACTGGGTCCTCCTGGTCAATCCCCAATCCCAGTCCCTGCTCCCGCGCTGAGCCCTCCCATTCAATCCTGGCCCCCATCAAAACCCCTGGGCCAACTACCTCTACTAGGACATTCAACCGACATTAAAGTTTGTGAGGATCAATTGCAGATTTGATCAGCGAAGTTAGTTGATATTCACTTCTCCCACACCTCATTTTTGTCAGTCGTGGGTGGTTGAAATGAACCTAACGGTTCATAAGTTTTATGTAGATTCATCCATATACATAACTTTGCTTTTTAGTTTAATAACACTATAATGTACTCTCCAAGTAAATTATGGAATATGCTGCCTGGGGAAGTGGTAGAGGCAGATTCCATACGTGGTTTGAAAAGACAGCAGGATATATATTAAAAAGTGATAAATTTAGAGGGCTGCAGAGATAAGGCTGGAGAATGGGGCTAGCTGGGTAGCTAATTTAGGAGCCAAAATAGATACAATAGGTTGAATGGCCTCTTTCTGTACTGTAAAATTCAAAGTGTACTCTTTGAAACATGGAGAGTTCCCACAGTGCTGTCTGGCTTCTAACTCACTCACCTTCTCATGGATAATTTATGTCATTGTCATTAGATTTAATACTAATGTTCCCCATTATGCTCACTAATTTTTACAATTTTGTAACATTACAACATCAATTTTGAGCAGCATGAATTCTAAATAAGGGCAATCACTCCTTTATGACGTATTACCATAGCATCCGTACAGGTTAAATGCTAGAGTTCTGAAGAAGGGTCACTGAACTGGAATCGTTAACTCTGCTTTCTTTCCACAAATGCTGCCAGACCTGCTGACTTCCCCCAATTATTTTTGTTTTTGTTTCCGATTTCCGGCAACTGTAGTTCTTTGTTTTATTATAATGCTAGAGTGTTGAGTTCCTAGATATCAGTTCCAAATTCAATATTTAATTTCAATGGACAATTTACAGACTGAGCTCTGCCAGCCTTAAGGCATTATCTGTCAAAGGAAGAGAAGACTAAATAATTTCGTCCATTCATTCCCACTGTGGCTTGCCTCATTACACATTATGTATTGCACTGCAGGAGTTAAAACAACTCTTTCCCCATATTATTAATTGTAGACCTGTGGGGTAACACACTCCTCAGCAAGGCATGGCTATAGTAGGCAGATTAGGAAGATGGCAAAAGGTGAAGAGACTTTACCAATGGACTGAAGTGTGATCACAAAACTTCCAGATGGTACTGTTCCTCCATTGAGACTTGAGACGATTGATTCCAATTTTGCTGCCCAAGAACCTACTGTTATTCCAGAGGCTGTGAACCCAAGAGCAGCAATAAAACTCTGAGCAGCAGAAATAGCAGAAGCTGGAAATGAAAATATTCAATTTAATTTGAAGCTCTGTCATAATTATCTGGTGATAGTAGTTATATATCAGATATAGCAGAAGCCCTTCCTCCTCTCTTGAAGGTAATGATCTTTGCTCGGGTGCAATTCTATGTGTGACAGCAATTCAATCCCATATAATTACTTCATAAATTCCTTGTGATTAGACCTACTCTAACAATATATCCTATCTCAGATAGTATTGTGAATTGGAAATGGGAACCATTCTGATATGATCCTAGAATGTCAAGACACTTTACAGGATTATTTCAGAGACAGGCAACAGAAAGGGGAACTTTAAAGCAAATAAGCTGTTTTAGGCCTTCATTGCCAAAGGGAATGGTCATCATTTGTACAGCATAGATCTTAACTTAAAAAAAAATCTTGTACCAGGTTACAAAAATAAACTATATTATGTGAAGAGGGAACAATGCATGTTAATCGCAGTAAATTGTTTATTTTTCACAGTAGTTTACAGGGTCATTCATAATGTGAAACTCAGAAAGCAGAGCCCAGTTATATGTCAGCACAAAAGCAGGGCTGTTTCCTGTGCTGTTGGCATCTGTAGAATTTGATATATGCAAACAATTTATCTAAGAAAAATGTATTAGTGAATCATTTTCATCCTAGCCAAGTGACTAAAGTCATTATTGCAATAAATGAATACAGCTAGAGTTGGTGTCCTAGCATACATAATTAAGATAACATTGTGAAATATGAAAGCTATGACCATGCACTTCTGTGCTAAGAGTTTTAAAATAGTTGATTAAAAATAAACAGTCATTCAGCACATTTAAAGATGAACAAGAGGGAAGTGTTAAATGAGAACTCTATCAGCCACTCAATAACATGTTGACAACATTTGTTTACTGGAGTAATGCTTATTGAAACATTAAATTTGATCTTGATCTCCTAGAGCCAATCCTAGCATGAGCATCATCATGATAGAGGTGTTAGATACATGAAATACAAGTGATGGTGATGAATTGGAGTGAGCAATCTGAAAATTGATATTGTAGTTCTGCCACTAATTGAAAAGTAGATTTTCAGTCTCTTAAACCTTAGTTTTGTTCTTTGCTTGAGGCAGAATTTTATTTAAAGCAGGAGATTCAATTCCTGTGCTTAGTTTATTAAAAACTCAGCTGCCACAGTGTGTTGGAGACAAAAATGGAGAGTTTTCCTCTGTGGTTGTTTCTCTGTACAGTGTTTCTCAATTTTGCTCTTATCATGGAATCATAAAGCATTTACAGCACAGAAACGAACAACTATTCGACCCGTCCAAATTTGCTTCTTTCCACCTTATATTTTCTTCATAATTGGTCACATAGTTGTTCTCAGTGCAGATTCACTCTCCAAAGCAAGTAATATTCTAATGTTAAAAGCAAATAATTAATTATGATAGTGTTTATGGGTTCCAGTTTGAAAACCACATCTGCATAGCATTTTTAATTTCCATTTCTGTAGCTTTTCAATATCCTTTATATTTATTCTGGCATTCATTAAATTACATATCTATACACTAAGCATATATAAAATGTTATTTCCGAATTTCAGAATTGATCTAACCTCACTCTTCATCAATTAAACTAGCCTTTTAAGAAAATATCATTTTCAATACCTGATGGGTGATTACTTCTGATTCTTATGATTGTTTTAAAAGCATCAGAATAAAGTCAACTAAACTATAGTTTTGATTATTAGTGATAATCCAAATGCTAGAAACAAATGAAGTACATTATTCAACTATTTAACTGCAATATAATCTAAGAAGGGTAACCTGGATATAGAAAGCATTTTCAGACAGCACCATTTGTATGTCTATGAGTATTAGTGAGTTGGCTGTTTGCTGTTCAAATATAATGCCTAATTTAGAAAAATAATGCCTAATTTACAATAATTAGCTAAACTTGTCAAGTGGGAATGAAATGGTTTTTGGGTCAAAAGCCTATTATGTACTTAATCTGATTTAATTTTTTTTAGCCTAATAGACATAATTTCAAGCTGTCATGATATTTCAACTGACCTAGATCACTCACAGTCCTGCCTACAGTTGTAAATGACGATCCATAAATATACTTGTTTGATAGTCTTAACTTATTACACAATTACTTGTCATGGCATTATATTAGTCATCTGAAGGAATAGAAATCTACGTATAATCCAGTGATACTATACAAGCCTAAGATATACAAGGCATGCTTGTTCATGTTACGTTGTGCTTGAGACTATTCCCTGGTTCAAAATATGCATAGTCTTGTGTATACGAACTAGCTCTTGTTTTAAACATGAGAATAAGTGTCTTCTGCAAGCCTCAATAATAACATTGAGTTAGTGATTTTCAGCATGTCAGTTGTTGTCATTTATTAATGCCATTTGGGAAGCTGTATGTTCATTCATGGTTTATACTTATCTATATACTTATACTTCCTACTAGATGATTCAAACCTATCGTTGCAGATATCCAATAGTGAGTCACCTTCTCAGCCAGGCAATACCGTGTGCCGTGATGCTGGAATAATGGATAACAGGAAAACAGGAACAAAAATAAACCAGTAATTGTGAATGTGTGGTTAAATAGACATATATGAACGAATCATTCTCTTACCTGCTCCTAAACTGATCAATGCAAGTTTAAAACATCCTGAGGCATCCACTGTAAATTAAAAGATGTTCAAATCATAAAATAGCATGTTATCATTTAGTAACACCACATAATGCAAAATTGAGAGGTGTATGCAATTGTGATAATATGTGATTAACTTATTTTCCTTCATAGTAACTAATTTACTTTTTAAATCTATAGTCACATATAGTAAGTAATTTGCATCAGATCTGGAGTGTTGACAAAAAGAACCTGTCTTTATAAAGTACTTTTAGGATATAAAAAATTAGGCAAACCTTCTCAGACTGAAACTGATGCTAGGGAGTGATAGTAGAAGAGTTATGGGAGATAACTGAAGGCATGTTCAAAAAGAAATGTTTGAAGAAGACTTTTGAAGAAAAGAATTATGTAGAAACATAAATGGCATTAGGCAGAAAATTTGTAGGGTTGATGGTTCCATCACCCAATGCAGCGTGGCAAGGAGAAAAGTACATCAGTACATAAGATTCAAACTGTTTAGAAAGTAGGAATGGGCAACCGTGATTTAAACACAAAAGCAAGGATTTTGATTTGGCTGGAGCATGGGAAGGTAGTAAGCACAAATGTAAAAGTGTAAAAGAGCTTAACACAGGATACAGTGCAGGCAGAGGGGATTTTGACAATTTGAAGCTTATGTCAGCAAGAAATTAAAGTTCCAGTAATGAAAGATTGGACCATAAGCCTGAAATTGCCAAAAGCATTGATGGCAATTTCCAGTGACAAGAAAGATGAGATAAAGGCATAGGCAGCAATTGTGCAAAGGTGAAATAGTTCATCTTGGTACTGCAGAAGAAAGAAGTCTTCAAAGTCAGAATGGGCTCACATAGGACACTGAGTTTGTGCATTAATGAGATTGCAGGAGCAGCTGAGAAAATAGTATTGAATTCAATTTAGAATTATAGAGTCAGAGAGTCACACAGAATGGAAACAGACCCTTCAGTCCAACTTGTCCATGCCAACTAAGTTTCCCAAACTAAACTAGTCCCATTTGCCTGCGCTTGGCCCATATCCCTCTAAACCTTTCCTATTCATGTACCTGTCCAAATGTCCTTTAAATGTTGTAACTGTACCTGCATCTACCACTTCCCCAGGCAGTTCATTCTACATAGGAACCACCATCTGTGAGAAAAAGTTGCCTCTCAGACGCCTTTTAAATCTTTCTCCTCTCACCTTAAAAATATGCTCTCTAGTTTTGAACTCCTCTACCCTAGGGAAAAGACCCTTGCTATTCACCTTATCTATGCCCCTCATGATTTTACAAACATCTATAAGGTCACGCCTCAACCTCCTATGCTCCAGTGAAAATGTCCCAGCATATCCAGCCTCCCCTTATAACTCAAACCCTCCAGTCCTGGCAACATCCTTGTAAATCTTTTTTGAACCTTGTCCAATTTAATAATATCCATCCCATAGAACGGTGACCAGAACTGTGCACAGTACTCCAAAAGTGGCCTCACCAATGTCCTGTACAACCACAACATGATATCCAAACTCCAACACTCAAAGGCCTGAGCAATGAAGGCAAGTCAACCTATGACGCAACTTTCAAAGAACCATGTACCTGAACCCCGAGGTCTCTCTGTTCTACAACACTACCCAGAGCCTTACTAATTGTATAAGTCCTGCCCTTTGTTTTACCAAAATGCATTTATCCAAATTGAATTCCATCTGCCACTCCACAGCCTATTGGCCCTATTGATCAAGATCCCTTTGTAATCTGAGACCTTCTTCACTGTCTCCTATACCATCACATTTGATTTCATCTGCAAACTTACTAACCATGCCTTCTAAATTCTCATCCAAATCGTTTATATAAATGTCAAACAATAGTCGACCCAGCAACAATCCCTGCAGAACACCACTGGTCACAGGCCTCCAGTCAAAAAAAACAACCCACCACCATGACGCTCTGTCTCCTACCATCAAGCCAACTGGCAAGCTCTCCCTGAATCCTATGTGATCTAACTCTACTAACCAGTGTACCATACAGAACCTTGTCAAAGGCTTTACTAAAGTCCATGTAGACAACGTCTACCATTCTGCCCTCATCTATCTTTTTGGTCACATCCTCAAAAAACTCAAATCAAGTTTGTCAGACACAATTTCTAACACACAGAGACATGCTGCTATGCCTAACCTGTCCTTGCCTATCCAAATGCATGTAAATCCTATCTCTCAGAATCTGCTCTAACAACTTCCTTACCCACCACTGATGTCAGACTCATCGGTCTGTAGTTCCCAGGCTTCCCCTTACAGCCTTTCTTAGGTCTCAGTACAACATTAGCCACACTCCAGTTTTTCAGCACCTCACCAGTGTTATGGATAGAGTCATAGAGTCATACAGCACAAAAACAGACCATTTGGTCTAACTCATCCATGCCGACCAAGTTTCCCAAACTAAACTAGTCACAATTGCCTGTGTTTGGCTGATAGCCCTCTAACCCGTTCCTGTACAGCCCTCTAAACTTTTCCTATACATGTTCCTGTCTTTCAAATGTCTTCTAAACTCCAGTGAGTAGAGTCCCAACCTGTTTAATTTTTGCTTTTAAGATAAAACCTCCATCCCTTCATCTTAGTGAACCTTCTCCGAACTGCCTCCAATGACACAGTATCTTTCCTTAAATAAAGGGATGAAAACTGCTCACAGTATTCCAGATGTGGTCTCACTAGCACCTTGTATAGTTATGGTAAGATTTCCCTCCCCTTTTACTGGTCCCTGGTTCATGTGATTGTTGAAGTGGGGTTGACGAGTGTCACACACTTGGGTTCGGGGCATGGATATCTTCACATATCCACAGAAGCTGTCGCTGTCTTTTCCTGCCTCAGGAAAATTCCTTTCCTTGGAGGGATGAGGAGATGGACATCTGGCAACCAGCAACTTGAACAAATATCCCTGCCAGAGACCCTGCAGTTTCTTCCCTAGCTTCCGACAACGTCCTGGGATGCACTTGATCAAGTCCCAAAGATTTATCCACCACTATGTTTTTTAAGACCTCCGTCACCTCAGTTTCAATTAGAGGTGCAAAGAATGACTGCAGTCTCAGCAGTTTAATGATGGTAAAACCTCTTCATCCATCAAGTTGATTCGAGGTAAGCAATCAGACTGCAGAGTGATTTTAATGGAATCAGGAGTGTTGTTGGTGAAAAAATAAAGCTGAGTTATTAACATAAATATGGAAGTTAATTTTCCACCTGAAGATATGCTAAATGTGAAGGTAAGGAAAAAGTAATGAATGGAGATAGTCTCGAGAGCAAGGCACGGAAGGGACACTTAGGAGTGAAACCAATTGAGGGGGGTTTCACAGAGATGAACCTCAGAGGAGATTGTTACAACCGAAGTTGGAGGGATTCTCCAATTCCTTTTCTAGTCCCAATCCTCCAATGGTCATAATAAATTCAAATATAGGTTTTGACTGTATCTCCTTAAGTATTAGAACAATACTGGCAGGTTTCTCTGATTAATAAAGAATAACTATTTCATTACAAATAAACCTTACTCAAACAAATAGGCAAAGATATTGACAAAAAAGGGTTTAGATTGTACTAAAGTAGCATTACTTATATTCTAGCATCCTGAGGCAAATAAACAATGTTGAACACCCACAGAACACATTAAATAGCAAAAGCGTTCCAACTGACCCCATGATTTCTCAGCAATCCTCTGAGATGTTTGTGACATTGTGGGTGCCCAAATCTGAATTAAACTTCCCATGGCATTATATTTCTCTAGTTTCAATATCTTGGCCTTGAAACTCCATCAAAAGCCGTTCTGTTGCAGACTGCCTCAAAATCAACTTATGTTCTGCTAAATCCATCTTGATTTCCTGGGACTGTGTTGCTCTGGACTTGTGGAAACTATGCACCAAGAATTTACTCAAAAGCACAATTCCAGATTTTAACAAACAATGATCTTCAGCAAGCCAGTAGTGCCCCTGAATTTTCCTGAGTCCTAATCTTGTTCAGTTACACAGAACAAATACAGACTTGTGGGCTTTCAGCCCTCATTCTCTACTGCACTGAACTATTCATTATGCACTAGTCTCTTTCAAGACCTTCACAGCTCTTAGAACTTCCCTGAGCCCTCAACCCACTGAACTATTTCATTGCTCTGGCACTTCCTTGAACACAAAATCTGTGTGGTTCAGTTGTTTTTAGGAGCAGAGCTAACTGCAGCCCTGCTTAGCATGCAGTCTGCTCACTCTCTCACACACCGCAAACACACATTCTCCCTTCTGATCTCAATGCCTATTATTCCTGAATCCATCTCACCCATTGACAAACTGTCCTGTGTGATATATCTGAACCCTTACAACAGGGTCTGTCTCTATTTCTAGGCAGAATTGCATGCAACTAACGTTCTGGAACAGTGAAATGTAGCAAACCCTTAAAACTCTCTATTCTTCACATGACACACGTTTCACAGCATACTGACTTACAGTACAAATTGCATGACGCCAAACATGTACAAGATCGTCATGACAGGCAGTAAAATATGAAATGCTTGAGCATGTTAAATGTTGTATAGTCAAGGAACACAAGCTAGAATAACACAAAATGGCTGCACTCAACAAGGTTGTAGATGATAACTTTGACCACGGTAGTCTCAATGTTTCCAAGAGATTAGCTAGCAAAATAAGGGATTTGAAGGTGGAGTGAAAATGGGTTGATTCATTATTGTCTTGAATCTTGGAGTTCTAAACATAGTTCTCCACAAATACCAAGCTTCCAGTTTTGGTTCTTGACAACGAAAAGTGCCAAAAGTAGAAGATAAGAAATTTTCCCTCTCTAGGTAGAGTGAGATGTTCAATATAAAGATCGTAAGTAAATTGTTAGCATATCTTCCCTTCTGGCAATTGTGTGAAGGTTGAGTTCGAGGGATTGGAATTAAACAAAGTGATAAGTTTTGTGGGAAGAGAAATCATTATCAAGACTGAGTCCTGATAACTTTCCCTTTGAAAGGACCTTCAGACATAGGTTGCTTTTCCACATAATCGTATAACGCTTCACTCTGTGAAAAAGCAGGGAAGAAAAGTACCAAATAGAATTTAATTCTAATTTGATTCAGGACGAAGCTGAGTATTTAATTGGTATCCCTGCCACATCAACATCTATGTGTTATAAAGGTCTGACTTTTAGGGAAGTGATGTTTTAAATTTTCTACTTCAATTTAAGGTAATTAGAAATGACTTGGAATTGAGATGGTGAAATATACTTGAATCTTCCCAAAAACAGGACTATGTGATTTGAGTTAACATGAAAAAGCTGTGCCAGGACAGAACCTATAGAAATTCTAATACTAGTTTTCTCACTTTAAGACCATAGACCATAAGCCATAAGAGCAGAAATTAGGCCATTCAGCCCATTGAGTCTGTTCCGCCATTCAATCATGGCTGATAAGTTCCTCAACCCCATTCTCCTGCGTTCTCCCCTTAACCCTTGATCCCCTTGATAATCAAGAAGCTATCTATCTCAGTCTTAAATGTACTCAATACCTGGCCTCCACAGCCTTGTGTGGCAGTGAATTCCATAGATTCACCACTCTCTGGCTGAAGAAGTTTCTCCTTATCTCCATTCTAAAAGGTCTTCTCTTTACTCTAATGCTGTGCCCTCGGATCCTAGTCTCTCCTACCAATGGAAGCATCTTCCCAACATCCACTCTGTCCAGGCCATTCAGTATTCTGTAAGTTTAAGATGAAATGAGGCATAGTGTTTTGAGCTATTGACTCTCAGAAGTCCTAAAGATTGGAAACAACTGCTGCTATGCTGAGAACAGGGAAGGAGTTTGTTTTATTTCTCTGTTAACCACTAAGCAGAATAGTTGTGAGAATGGATTTTCTACTCGAAGAGGCAGAACTGCTAAAGATTTAAAGCAGTCACCAGATTCTCCCTTTCTGCTGGAGGTCAGTTTGATGTTACTCAGGAGTTTGAGTGAAGGAATTTTCAAAGCTTCATGGTTAAGAAAAGAGAGTCTCTGGAATGGCCAGGGAATTTTTGGGACTTCATCTACAATTGTACACATCTGCTAAGAGTATTTGATTTTTGTTTTATCCTTTCACATGTTTTGAAAGGTACCTGTAATGTAGTAACTCTAATAATACTTAATAGTATGAATAATAAATGCAATTGACAATTAAAGTTTGGATTTGTTGCCCATCCCTAATTGCCCTTGAGTTGAATAGCTTGTTAGGCTAATACAGGGGCAAGTTAAGAATCAACCATATTACTGTATTTTTGGAATCACATGTAAACCAGAATGGGTAAGGCTGGCAGATTTCCTTCACTGAAGGACATTTGTGAGCCAGATGGGTTTTTATTACAGTTGATAGTAGTTGACGTAGCTACCATCACTGAGACTGGCTCTATATCCGAGCCATGCCATGGTGGAATTTGAACCTCATGTCCTCATCTTGAGGCATCTTGAATACTAGTCCAGTGAGTTTACTATTGGTGTAATGAAGAAATGTGACACAAGAGTTTTGCTTGTGTTAATCAGTTTGGGAAAATACCTTTTTTGTAGTTTAGAGAATTAGTTGTCTACGAGCTAATGTTTAATTATGCTGATTCTAGTTTGTTTGTTACAGTAAAGTTTTACAACACAAAATCTTCTTGTGCAATTCTTTCCATCAGTTGCTGAGAGATGTACATCTCTTTATAAAAGTTATCTGTCCCTATTGGGAACATAGCACACATAGCACAATACCAGCAGATCTTGGATGCAGTTTTGTGCATAGAATGCACTGCATCAACTTGCAAACCACTAACTGATACCAGCTCCCTGCTGTCATCTCTACCAACAAGAAAGTTTGAAAACATGATAGAAATGCATTCAACTGCAAGTTCCTTATCATCATCCTTACTTGGACATGACTTGCCATTCTTTCATAACTGCTTTGTTAGTATCCTAGAAGTTCCTACTTATCGTAATTGTGGAGAAGTCACGCAAAAGACTCCATTTGTTCAAAGAGAAGGTCCCAAATAATCTTTTTTTGTGGTTGTATTTCCTTCATCCTAAGAACAAATTTAAAATTTAATATAAATATTTCTTGCAAACGAACGGAAGAAGCATTGGTTGTCTTATTTGTCCATTTTGTACAACAATTGATTTTAGTATCTCACCAGTGGAGAAAGAGCAAATGAGTATTAGTAAAGCCAGAAAATGCATTTTCATTTTTCTCCACAGCCCAAATGCTAGTGTCCAGTTGAGATTGTAATGAAATTCCGTCACCTGCAGAAATAGAGAAATGCATTTAATAGCACACTAATGGAGCTGGTAAACAGTAAACCTCACTCACTTCACTATGATGCATGCCACAGTAAAATTCTAATTATTCTTGTGATTGATCACAGTTAGTGCACAAAGTGAGAGTTTTTGAACCAAATGCAGCTACGTTTATTTGCATTTCTTTTGGTTTTTTGAGCTTTGAAGTGAACACAGATAGATTGTTTTGCTTATCAATCCATGAATGCAAGTACATAAGGAAACACTCAATTGCAATTGTACCTAATGAATTGGGAAAAACTAAGGGTATTCCAAATGCAACTGGCTCTTACCTTTGATTTTAAAACACAGTATGCAGAAACAATCAGTGACCTTTCTATGGCTACATTCAAAATCTATTATCTTGCCATAGTTAGTTCATATTTCTGATCATGTTCCATGTTTGTCAGTCCATAGCAAGGAATGAAAGGATGTATAGGACGTTTCCCTTGGTCTGCCCCAAAGCAGCTTACAAATAATGATATACTTTTAAGTTTTAATCATTATTGTAAAGCAGCCAATTTGTGCACAGCAATGTACAACAAATACCAATGAAATAATGACTGTGTAATCTGTTCTAGTGATGTTGATTAAGGGGTAAGCATTAGCCAGAAAATGTAAGGGATATCAGTTGTAATTTATGGTAGTCCCACATAATGACTACCAGCAGCATAATCCTTATTTGTTTATTGTCAAAAGGGTGGGAGGAGATTCAGCGTCCCAAGGACTGTGCATATGTGTTGGGGGGGAAACATGAACTCTTATGGGGATGATGCATACTTGAATACAAAGTACTGAATGGCTACAGTGGATCCATGGCAAAGAGAAAACAAAGAAAAATCTGAACCTGCATAGAAGCTGAATAATTATGTTTTTCTTAGCAGAATGTACAACTAATAATGGGGAATCTCAATGTAAGTATTCATCATTCCTGGAAGGCGATATTAAATACTGAATGGAATGCTGACTCGATGACAAATTCTTTGCTGCAGGGAGTTCAGATGGGAGGGGAATGACACAGCTTCTTTCATTTAGATGCTGTCCTATGCCTCATCCATTGGCAAAGCTGTGCATGTAATGGCCTGGCCTGCACTACCTTTTACCACCAGGAGGTACACAGTGCAGACAATGTAAAAGAGCATACTTGGATGTGAAATAAGATAGAGTAATAAAATACACTTAGACACTGAAAAATGGACTACATTTAAGTACAAGCAGCATTTAAGTCACTCAACTATTAATTGATAACAAACTCTCAAATGATAATCCAAATACAGGTGGTATTTGTTGAAGACATTTTGCTATGATAACATTAACTGTTCAATAAACCTAAGAAACTACTCTACCTTTCCACTTATTCCCACTCATTATGATACTGTTAATGTCATTCTACTGAGCTAGTCTTTCCTGTTCAAGATTGAGAGAGAGGAGGCCGTATGCTTCTGAAACAGTGTGAGAGATATAGCAGGGACAGCTGCTCTGTAAAAATTGAGAGGAAGAGTGGGTCAGCAGCTTCTCAAACAATGTGAAAGTGTTGAGGCAGCAGCTGCTTAAAGAGAAGAGTAGATCTGTGTGAGAAGGGCAGCGGTGGCAGGATAGAAAAGCCAATGGGAGAGAACCCCTTCAACCTGTTTCCACCTATCAGAACCAAGTGGAACATACAGGAAAACAGGTGATTGATGGGTATTTCATCCATTTTACTGTTGCTTGGCTACGTGATTTAATTCTGAAGATTACAGCACAAGAAAGCAAGGAAGGCTTTTCTGTTAGGGCTAGCGTCATTTGAACCATTGTTGGGACTAGTGTCCTGGTGAATTGTATAACTAGGTTTGTAGATAGGGACTTTAATTAGTTTTGAGAAGAGTTTAATTGAAGGGAAGATTAAAGAATCAAAAATAAATGAGAGCAGAGGTGCGGGGTACTGGGGAATTGAACAATAATCAAAGTGTGACAGCAAATTTATGCAGAAGAGTTTAGCAGAAATTAGAACTGGATTGAATATTAATGATTTAAAAAAGCTCATTATCTGAATGCACTTAAGATTTGTAACAAGTTAGAGGATTTGATGGCGCAAATCAAAACAAAGGAATATGACTTGATATCCATTAGGAAGACATGATTTGTTGCAAGGTGGCCGAGATGACTAACTCAATATTCCAGGGTATTTGATGTTCCAGAAGGATAGTCAAAAAGGCAAAGTAGGTAGTGTAGCTTTGTTAATAAAGAAATGCAAATGGATTTTTGGCTATTATTCTTAGGGATTTGTTGTTTTTAAATAGAGAATTGTGTTCATAACTATACAAGGTGTTGGTGGGGCTGTACATCAAATACAGTTTTGGCCCTTGTATTTTAAAAAGGATGTACTGACATTGGAGGCAGTTGAAAAGAGATTCACTAGGCTGGAATGATTGGGTTGACTTATCAAGAACGGCTAATAATAATAATCATAATAACTAATGATATTTATTTATTCAAATTAGAAGCATGAGAAGTGATCTTAGTGAAAATTAGACTCTAGAAGAATGACGGGGACATTGGTAAGGTAGACGTTGCGAAGATGTTTCCATATTGGAGGAATCTCAAACCAGTAGACAGAGGAATAGAATAATGGGGCACTCATTTAAAAGATGCAAAGGAATTTCTTCTCCCAGAGGGTAATGAATGTCTGCAATTCTCTGCCCCAGAAAGTTATGGAGATAAGGTAACTGACAGTATTTAAAGAGGCGGTAAATCATTTTTGAAATATTGGGTAGTTCAGTGCAATGTTGAGCTAGCAAGTTGAGTTCTAGGGTAGATCATCCATGATCTTGTTGAATAGTTGGGTAACCTTGGGGGGCCAAATGTCTCACATTCCAGTAAGATGGAAAGATTCTAAGAGGAGGATAAACCAACCATGGCTAACCAAGGAAGTTAAGGAGAGTATTAAGTTGAAAGAAAAAGCATTTAGGGAGGCCAAACTCAGTGATAGCCCTGAAGGCTGGGAAAAATTCAGAATCTAGCAAAGAAGACCTAAAAAGACCTAATAAAGACTGAGAAAATGTATTACGAGAGCAAACTAGCGAGGAATATAAAAACTGACAATAAGAGCTTCTTTAAATATATAAAAAGGAAAAGTGAGATGAAAATGAACAAAGGCCCCTTAGGAAATAAATCTGGGGATAAAATTTTGGAGAACAAAGAAATGGCAGAGGAGTCAAATAGATATTTTGCATCAGTCTTTACATGGAAGATATTTCCCATTAATACGGAATCTAGTACCGTTACAATCACTAAAGCGATAATATTAGATAATCTAATGGGGCTAAAAGCAGCAAAGTCTCCTGGCCCTGATGGCTTACATCCTAGGATCCCAAAAGAGGTAGCTACAGAGATAGTGGATGCATTGGTTATACTTTTCCAGAAGTTTTGAGATTCTGGAGAAGTACCAGAGAACTGGAAAAGTGCTAATGTGACACCTTTATTCAAAATGGGAAACTATAGGCTGATTAACCTCACACCTATTATTGGAGAAAATCAATTATTAAGAAAATAATAGCAGAGCATTTGGAAACTCATAGCCTAATGAAGCAGAATCAGCATGCATTCATGAAAGGGAAATCATGTCTGATTATTTATTAGTTTTTTTGAGGAAATGTCAACCAGAGTGGATAGAGGGGAACCAGAAGATGTGGTATATTTGGAAGATGTTTGGCAAAGCACCTCACAAAAGGTTAAGTGACAAGATAATAGTCCACATTGCTGGAGGTAGTATGTTGGTATCGATAGAGAATTGGCTACCAAAACAGAAATGGCTGGAGAAATTCAGCAGGGCTGGTGGCATCTGTGGAAAGAAAGCAGAGTTAACAAACCCTTCCTCAAGATCACTAGCCCCATAACGTTAACTCTGCCTTCTCTCCACAGATGATGTCAGACATGCTGAGGTTCTCTTGCAATTTTTAACTTTTGTGTCTGATTTCCAGCATCTGCAGTTCTTTGGTTTAGAGAATTGGCTAGTGGCCTGGAAACAGCAAATGGAAATAAGGGGTTCTTTTTCAAGTTGGTGACCCATGACCAGTGGGGTTCCAGAGGGATCAGTGCTGGGAACGCAACTGTTTACAATACACATTAATGACTTTGAGGAAGGAAGTCAATGTATTGTAGCCAAATTTGCAGAGAACACAAAAATAGGTGGAAAGGCAGGTTGCGAGAGGGATACAAACAGCTTACAGCAGGATATTGATGGATTAAGTAAGTGGACAAAAGTTTGTCAAATGCAGTATAATGTGGGAAAATATGAAATTGTTCATTTTGGAAGGGAGAATAAAAGAATAGAACATTATTTAAAAGGAGAAAACCTGCAGAAAGCTGCAACACAATGGGACTTGGGGGTACTTGTACATGAAACACAAAAATCTAGCACACAGGGTGCAGCAGGTCATTGGGAATGCTAATGGAATGTTGGCCCTTATTTCAAGACAGTTGAAGTATAAGAGTACAGAAGTCTTACTATAACTGAACAAGGTGCTGGTGAGATCAGATTTGGAGTTTTGTGAACAGTTTGGTCCACTTATTTAAGGAAATATATTGTATCATTGGGAGCAGTTCAGAGAAGGTTCACTCCGATGATCTCTGATATGGAGGGATTGTCTTATGAGCAAAGGCTAAACAGGTTGGGACTCTACTCATTGGAGTTTCAAAGAATGAGAGGTGATCTCATTGAAACATACAGCATTCTTAAGGGACTAGACAAGGTAAATGCTGAGAGGATGATTCCCCTCATGGGAGAGTCTAGGACCAGAGGGCATAGTCCCAGAATAAAAAGTCACCAATTTAAGATTGAGATAAGGAGGAATTTCTTTTTTCAGGGGATTGTGAGTCTTTTTGGAACTTCTTGCTACAGAGAGCTGTGGGGCCAGAGTCCTTGTGTATATATAAGACTGAGATAGGTAGTGTCTTGATCAGAAGGGAAATCAACGATTACAGGAAAATAGGTGTGAGGAATGTCAAAACAGCCACGATTCAATAGAATGGCGGAGCGGGCTCATGGGAATGAACGACCTATTCCTGTTCCTATTTCATATGGTTTTATGGTCTACTTTAGCTCCTATTTCTTATGTTCTTATTCTCTGGCCACACCCATACCTGTTGCACTTCAAGTAAATACTTTGATAAGTTACTTTTGCCTTTTTAAATTTCTTTGTTCTAATTGGAACCTTGCTTCTGTATTTCCAACCCACAAGTGTGTTTCATTCCTTTTTGTTGATGTGTTCCAAAAGATGAACTGATTTTCAAAGGGCATTCCTGAGGGCAAATTTCTCAGATTATGAGAGATCTGGAGCCGTGTATCTGCATGGTATGTTTTTTTTTCTTAACAATGTCTCAGCGTACTTGGCTGATTGGGAAATATGCATTTATTTTCCAAAATAGCAGCCACTCCTTGTGCTCCTCAAAATCAGTCATTCCTCAACAAACCTCTCATAAATTTTTAGATTGATTCATGTAACAACAGCATTGTAGTCCTACAGGACCATTTGGTACATTTTAAGTTAACTAATACATTTCCACTTTGAATGTTATTGCCCAAGTATGCTTACATTCTGCTATTTAGGTTAGGCATTGTTTCCATTAGAATTAGTTTGCAAAATCAAAGTAATGAACTGTTCCATGAACCAGCTCAATCAGGCAATGTGATAGTAAAATTTTTCCCCTCCCATTAAAATGCATTCTTTGATATTATTTAGTAAAATGTTAACATTACAGCTGAAAATAAGCTTAGCACCAAAAACAAATGTTTTTACTTTGGGTATTTGACGATCTACCTGTGAGTAAAATGATTTGTAATAACTTTTAAACAAAACTATACAATACCATTTAATAGGTATTTGGTACAAACTATAATTTACTGGTATATTATATGTTTCTAAAACTTTAAAATGTGCTTACTAGTGCCTGTGTATCTGAGCTGCTATAATCTTACAGGTCCCACCGAGATGGTGTTCAATGTCACACCAGGAAGAAAGTTGGATTGGAGGGTATCAGACTGGTGGGTCAATGCATTCCTGCCTCTAGTTGATCTTCCCAGAGGTGGGATAAAACTGACAACTGTTTGGAGAAATGCAGTTACACACTGTAGACAGTGGCTTGCCAGAATATTAGCTGAGTTTCGTGATTTAGAGTCAAACGCTAATGCCACTAGGTCATTGCCATTGCAGAGCCTTCCTAAACCTCTGCATGCAGTGAAAACTCCACAGTTCCAAATTGGGTCATAGCCAAGTTTGTGGTTCATCTTGTGTTAAAGTTTTCAGAAAATGCATGCACATTTACATTTAAAACTCTGCAATATTTTGTGCTGATTTAATTCATGCTGCCCAGTTTAAATTGATATAGTTTACGTAGAGAGAGGAATACATATGTAAGGATAAAGGTGCATTAAAATTAACTATATACTTCTATTCTTGATTGTTGTGCTTATAAGTTGTTCAAAGCTTAAATTAACATAAAGATCAGTATTACCTTCTGCGGGTCAATTTTTGTCCATAAATTACAGAGATCAGTCTTCCCCTGAAGTTTCAATTGCAAAATCAAAATGATCCCCCAATATGTCTCTAGAGCTCCTGGGATAACACAAGTCTTGTTTTAAGTGGCAAAGGACTTGATTGACTGTCCACAGAAACTAACAGTTCTAAGGGGCACTGCAAGTTGTTTTAAATTAGATTGATTTCCTCTGAACTCACATGATACTGTTGTGAAATTAAGGAAATGAAACTGGCTTAGTACACTAGAAGTCATTGTTGACATGAAAATAAAGAACAGATTGACAATTTGAAGCATGCCATTATTCTGGAGAATTTTTGCTCAGATGTGCAAAAATCTGTTGATTAGTCATAATGATGTAATTAATAAATTGGCTTCCCTTTGAATCATATTATCATTTTATATTTTACCATGCAACTTAGTTTTATATGTACATTTCTAAATGTTTACTATCTATTGCAGATAAAATGTTAATTTACGTGTTTATACCACAACAAGTTTAATTGTTCAACAGTTTTATATAAATGTAAAACTTTGATTGTAATAAATCGAATCAAAAAAGAGAATGGGTAAAATCGTATTGGAGTCAGAACGAGATGAGCTATGGAAGATTGGTGGCAGAATGGACTAAGAAGTCTGTCAGGATCTATTTCGATGTCAGGAGCATCTTTCTGAGAGGCGAGGCAAGTTTCTCACTAGAGAGTGGCATGTTACTAATTAAGGGAGATTATATTTTGTTAGATGGCTTATTAATGCCAAAACACACCGCAGTAATACTCAGCTTTCTATCAACACACTAAGCAAGTCAGATTTCAAGAATTCTCCAAATGGAAACTGGAACTGGTACATGGCAACTTCAGCATACCACCAGCTGTGAGTAGCATCCATGTTGCTCAGCATCAAGCAGCATCTCAGGGCATGATCTACAGGTACCAGCTGCACATCGTTCATCCGCAAACTGAATTTTTACAAACCCCTGTGACCAAATGGGATCCATGTCTCCTGGACATTAGGACATTGAAGTAGAAAATGTGTGAAGTATTTGTTTACAAAATACAGCTACAATTCATTTGCAAATGTTGCTTTGCGCATATGAAATGCATACAGGGGTGAACATGCTTATGAGTCAAATGCTGGTCAAAAGCAGATTACACTATTGCATTGGTGCTAGACAAACTAACATTGTCATCTCAATAATGCAGGAGTTAACAGCAAAAGCTTAAATGAAGGCGAATGCTGGGCAAATGTACCATATCACTCATGGAACTTCCACTGGTGCTGGAGGATAAGGGTCTTCAGAATTTCTGAAGAAGGGTCCCCACCTGAAACATCAATTTTCCTACTCCTCTGATGCTTCCTGGCCCGCTGTGTTCCTCCACCTCCGCACTGTGTTAATTTTCTCTGCACTCATTCTGGTGAGCCTATACCAGTGGGAAATCAAGGAAATTTACAGCTAAATAAACAAACTACCAGATATTTGGCAATGTATGTAGTTGAACTATTTAGTGACTTATGCTGCAGACCAGGAACTGAAACTGTAACAATCTGATCTCTAGACTTTCTGTTTCAAAGCAAATTTCTGAAGAAACAAAACTAACAACTGTTCCTAAAATAGTATCCATTTAGGTTTTATGTCCTGGTCATACAGGATGATCTGCCAGTGAGAATACTTTGTCATTATCTACTGTCTTGTCCTGGGGCTGCAACTGTTGCAATGTTTAAAGGGTTGGTGCTGCCTCCGTCTCTTTGAAAACAGGAACTCCCCATCTGACATTTCAATTATTTCTTGTTTTTTTTTGCTGGAGATATTTTGCAACAATATTCAGCTTGTGTAAAATGGGGTGGCGGCACACAAGTGCAGAAACATTCACTGATGCACGATTGAGATATTGCTGGATGAAGTCTGGTGGAGGTATGGTTGCCAACACTGGTTGAACGTATTCCTTGAGTTTTCATCACGTGACCTCTGTATCCAAAATCCCTGACTCTTCCCATTGGACATCCATCTTCATGGTGCACCCACTCCACAGCCTGAATTTTCCCGTTCTCAGCTGAAGTGTGTGGTCAAGTGTAACTCATAGCACTCAATCCACCATCACTCAGAGCAAGCCTTTTCCACTCACCTTATTAATTATGCAACTGGGCCCTTCAGTGCCTTTCTCATCCAGTCATGCAACAGAAGAAGCAGAAATGCTCACTTCTGCAAGGATCTTTCAGCTCTCACACCAGACTGAAAGCCTGAATGCACACCATTTCAGACGCTGCAAACCAGGAACTGTGCCCAAGCTGCTTATTTTCCATTATGAAGCAGCCACAGTTTTGTTGGCAAACATGACAAGCAATCTATGCTTGGCACAATCCCATAAATGATCAATTAAGTTACTTTGATGAAGTTGTTTTAGGTGTAAGTATTACCCAGCTGGCATGGTTATGCCCCTGTTATTTCTTAGAATTGCATTCTCTTACAACTGAACAATCAAATATTTTCAGCCTAGGTTGCTGATTCAACTGGAAAAGCAGAGGTTTGAGGCCATAGCTGTCTGACTTGGACAGGAGACTACTACCAATGATCAAGTTGTCTGGTTTCCCATCAGTAGAGCACACAGAGTCCTTTCCTATGTCTGAGTCTGGTGGTTTTGTCTCATTGGTCTGTTCCAGATTTAAACTTGGATCATTGAAATTGTGGATTATTACTCAAAGCTAGTGCATCACCTAATGAATCTCACAAATTGTCAACTGCTGTTGCTACTCATGTTTATAATGGGTTGACAGACAATGCAGAAATACAATAGATGTGCGAGCATGTTTCATATGTGCTAAATTACAAACTTCAAAGAATGGGGATGGAATCTTATAGGAGTCTAAATAATGCAGGCTTCGGCAAGATCTGTTAGAGTATTACATGAGAAGTTTGGAGGGGCCTATTTCAATGTTGGGAACAACTCACTGCATCTTCTATGCATCTGTCGGTTGTCGAGGTGGGTTTCTCACAAAGTTGTAGCAATTTGCCAATTAAGGACGATTATTTCTCCTTAAATAGCTTACTAACTGTACATCTAGTCTCATTAATAACAGCTTCCTTTATTCCCAAAAACAAACTAGATGTCAAGAATTCTCACCATGGAAGTGAGAACGGGTAACTGGTGACTTCAGTTTATCACTGGCTGTGAACAGTCTTCATGTTCATCAACAACCAGCATCTCAGGGCATAACCTGTGGGCACCAGCTACATGCACCATCATTCATGGATTTTGACATCCATCAATTGTCAGCCCCTCAGAATCCTCATGGCACATCTTCAATCCACTTATAGGATGCTTAGGAAGCACATTTTCGCATTGTCGGATTTTCTAGCAACTAGCATTGAAAGGACACTTTGCACACATGGACAGGCACCCAGCTCAAAGATTGGTCTGAGGCTCTATCTCTGCACTGCTTGCTTTCTTAGTGCTTGTTCACTTACAGCCTACCTGCATGTTTGCCCTGTTAGCCTAGGGACATACCTAAATACCATCAATCCTGCTGCTGTAATGTGTTTACTTGTGCAGAGATGTCCTCTGTCAGTCAGGATCTATCCGGTGTGCATCTTGCTGTATGGTACTCCAAGAAACCAATCTAACACTCGCAGTATGTGCCAGCAAACCCATTGCGTGTTAATTCAGCTAAATGGCTGTGTCAGATAGTGGGTGGGATGGAGGGGTCTGTGAGTCCTCAGTCCAGCCAAAAGTGGGGCCACTGTTTGGGGATCTCAGTACTGTCAGTCAAGGGTAGAGTCTTCTGATCATCCAGGGGCTTGACCACATGTAGTTGTCAGCTTGGGACACTCTCCATCAGGAGATATATCCAACTGCAATCAAGACAATGGTCAGCCGTCCAACAGCAGGTGCCAGGGCTTGGTGCCATGGCCTCCTCTGCCAGTCGTCTGGGAAGAAGATGTCACTTTTCTGTATCACCTGCTCCACTGGGACTTCCATGTCCCTGTTGGAGAATCAGAACACCATATTTCCCGTCTCTGACAGCTTCTGACTGATTATCTGTCACTGAGTAAGGCTGCTACATCTGGGTGCACAGCAGCCTTTTAAATATGGTGTGGGCGCAAGACTGCCGGCCTTTGAGTGGATTTCTGTTCAGTGGCAAATTGTTCTGGGAAAGGAAAAGTAAAATAGCATTAGAATCAGGCTAGAGGGTCAGCACAGGGCGGCGAATATCAGTAAGAAAGTGAGTTTGATAAGATATGGTCAGAAATCTTACTGGGCCTCACGGCAAAAAATACCATTCAAAACACTTGGGACTTATACTTAGCCAAAGAGATCTAACATTCAAGGTTGAATCTCACCATATTTTGGCTAAGTATTAATTTCATGGAGGGTGAACCTCTGTGAGCTCTGTGGACTTTTCTCACATAATTATCTGTTGCTCACCTAATGAATTGTGCATCCAGCCTCCGTATCGCTCCTCTCGGGCAATCCTGTGGTCAGGAGAGATGGAAGTGTTTTGTGGTGCTGAGACCTTCTGGTACCCACGTCTCCGTCACCATAGTTAAATGGTGTATCATTTCAAATGCTCTGAAGGAAATGCTTGTATGTGTGGCTGTACAATTCAAAAGGCCATGGCTAAAGGAAGGAAGTCCGAATGGCACTTTGCTGACAGGGACATGGAGATCCTGGTCGACTGTATGGGAGAGAGGAGGAGGACCGTCCTCTTTCCTGAAGACCGACAGATGAAAGCAAGGCTGCTGCCAGCTGAGTCTAAAGTAGCTATTTTAGTCACCGCAGTGTCCATGTTTCATAGCAGTGCTGCAATAAGGTGGATAATCATCTGGGTTCTGCAAATATAAATGCCACCGTCTTCTCACTGCTCATGCTAACTTGGTAACTGCAGCCATGTCTCACCAAGACTCATGGCCTACCACTGTCACTATTTACTTTTGCATTTGTTTCAATGCATGTGGCCTGACAGGTAAGGCAGATGAGCCTAGGACATAGTTGGGAACATTGGACAGGGATATCATAGCTATTACAGAAACGTGGCTCAGGAATGGACAGGACTGACAGCTTAATGTTCCAGGGTATAGATGCTATAGGAAGGATAGAAAGAAACGTGAGTGAAGAGGGGGAGTGGTGTTTTTGATTAGGAAT